CGCCCCGGCCCCGGGGGGGTGACACGCCCCCGCTCCCGCCAGCCCGGGCAGACCCCAGCGCCCGCCGCGGCCTCACCCACCATCTCGAGCCGCCGCCGCCGCCTCTCCGCCCAGTCACGGCACCGCGCGCATGCGCCTCCCGCTCCGCCAATCCGCGGGGAGGAGCGGCGGGCCGGCCGTCACGACGTAGGCCCTGCCCTGGAAGCACTTGTCTCAACGGCGGGGCGGAGAGGGGAGCCGAATGGCGGCGTTTCCGCGGTAAAGCCCCGCCCGGATCGCCTCAGGGCCCGGCGGGGGCGGGTCCCGGGCGACCGTTGCGGGCGGGGAGCCGTCGCTTGGCGGCCGTCGGGTCCTTGATCTCGCGTAAAGGCCTTTGGTCTAAACCCTCACAACTTTACCCCTCAAAGAGTTGACACACACCGCCGGTGCGCGAGGCGCCGGGCAGAGCGGGGATGGTCAGTCCAGGCCCCACTGCCGCGGACAGGCATCGCGCCCCCCTAAAACTGCCGGGCTGGTGGGAACCTACCTGCCGCGGCCCCTAGGAAGTGAGGTGAGGCGGTAAGGGTGTCTGCTGCCAGTATGGGAAAGGTAAACGCTCAGCCCACTTACATAGGGCCATGTCCTGTATTCTGAAGGCAAAACGAAGTAACCCACTCATGCACCGTATCAGACACAGCCCTAGCTGGTGTTACACAATAGCAGCAGTTAGTACTTTCCCCCTTTCAACTGGAATCCAGGCTCTGCTTGATTTCAGTGCTGCTTTTTTCAGCACTACCCCTGTGCAAGCAGAAAACTGCCATTCAGCTAACACTCAGCTCCTCTCAACAGTTACAGAAAGCAGGTGTTTGTTGGGTAAAAAGTAGAAGCGTGACCTCATAAAGTATTTTTTGTTTTTTTTTCCAAGATACTCTGAAAACCAGCATTTGACATAGCAGATAAGCTCACTGGTCCTTCAAATCTGGCAGGGACTACCTTCTGCTCAGAGAAAACAAGATTTCTCCAACAAACCCTGTCATTTTTGCACTACTGTAGAGCTGATAGGTTGAGAGTGGACATGAGATAGGCACCTTCGAGATCAGGAACAAATCCTTCTTTAGGATTCAAGAGATGCTGCTATTTTCTCGTCTAGTGGATATTTACAGCTCTGCAACCTAATTAATTTAAATTCTAATCTTGCTTACCAGTCCAGCAGTAAGTTTTAAAGCTTGCTTACGGAAAGTCATTCTACCATAGATTGATTCCACTTCTAGTCCTACCAACGATGACAAGATTTGGTCAATAGGTAAGCAGTGCAGAGCTGCTATTAGAGACCTAAACCAAACAAGGTTTTGTTTAAACTAAACAAGTACTCCCATCTTGCCAACTACAAACCCATCAATAACCCCAACCAGGACTGGTACAGACATTAGCAGCAGCATCACAGAACAAAATAGTGAGGAACTAATGCAATGGTGCAACTGAGGTGTACATTTATCATACCATACATTTACCGTGCATTGCATTGTGATTCTGTTTTAGCTCTTCCCCCCCCCCCCAAACTTCAGATATACGTGAAATATCCTCATAGCTGTACTAACTTAAAACTACCCAAAGCAGTGTCAAATTTTGGGTTTACACAACTTACTAGCATGCTTTTAAGTGATCTCATCCAAATTATGGAGGAAGCAACTCAAAACTAACCTCCCCTGCTGCAGAAAAAAGGCAGTTATTATTGCATATATTTACTTGGCATAGAAAAGCATATGTGGGATTTGCTGCTACTAACAAAATTGTAATAACCGAGCCTGCGTGAACATCTGGGAAAATATGCAGAGTGAAAACCCAGTGGGAATGTCTGCAGCAAGGAAGATTACCCTCAGTGGAGGATGATCAGTTTAGGGAACATTTGAACAAACTGAATGCAAACAAGTTCATGAGACCTGATGGGATGTACCTGTGAGCGCTGAGGGAGCTGGCCAATGTCATTGTAAAGCTGATCCCAATTATCTTTGAAAGGTTGAGGCAATCAGGGGAGGTTCCTGATCACAGAAAGAAAGTAAATAACCGCTTCTCCTTTCAAGGAGGAGGATTAGGGTAACTACAAGGCTGGTCAGCCTCATCTGAGCTTTTTTCCCCTCCTTCCTGTCACACTGTCATTCCTAAACAGAAAACACAAACTTGCACAGTCATACCTCATTTTTGTTATCACCACAATAGTGGTACAAGAAAATGTTAAAGCTGTGGCTCCTGCAGAACCTTTCTCCAGACCATCTCCCTCAGAGTACCACCACTAACAGACCAACTGTCTCGTTGGGGCAGCATCCCCAGCACTAAAAATTCAGGAATTGTTGTGTTTGCAGTTTCTAACCAGTCACAAAGACAGCTGTGTCTGAAATCTCCTAATGAAGTTCCAATGCAAACAACAATAGCAGAAGAGGTCTCAGGAAAGAAACGTTCCTAAAGAACTTTGCTAGATGGACAACTTCAGACAGCCTAACCCCTCACCCCCCAAAAAGCAGACAGACAATTTATTTGCACATGGATGCTTCATAACACAGAAGAATAACGACAAAACTACCAGCTCTTTAAGTAGTTTTATAAAAGTATTTGACTTACTGAGATACTGTTACAGTTACCTGAGTATTTGAAATTACAATGCAAGGAAATTTCAACAATGAATTTCAGTACAGTATTTTACAATCCAGTGCTGCTGATCCCAGTTTATATACGAGTTCACTAGAGCACATATACACAAACAGTGATTCTTGAAGAAAATTAAAAGAGACCACAAAAAGGGGGCTGGAGATACCAATATAACAGAGCAAGCTGAGATTACAAATCCAGTGCAGCATGTAATAAAAATGCAAAAAAAACAAAAAAAAAACCCCAAGCTTTTTTTTTGTTTTACTTTTCTCAGAATAATAAAAAAAGCTTTTTTTTTTTTAAAACACCAGCAACTGGATTAAAAAAAATGAAATTCCATACTAGATCAGATGAAGACATGATGCATTTACTGTGCATTTTATTAGTATATTAACATTTCCTGAGCTACACAGAACAATAAGGCTTTGTTAATTCTTAGATCAGTGGCTCAGCATTTAATTTTCTCATGTCATTCTCATAAGGCAAAATTCTAACTAAAAGGTATTTTAATAGTTGAAAACTAGGATCAATTGACAGTTGCGTATGAATATACATTTGTGACATACTATGAATTTATGCAGCTTGGGTTGCTAAATAATTTGAAGTAGTGGGAGACAAATTCATTAATCTCTGCTGAAAATCTTACTTGGAAGTCCAATTCATAAAAACCTATTATCTGGGATACAAGATGATGTGGGCTCATCCACATGTTGTTTTCACCAGATCCCTATAAAGAACAGAAAAGTGCACCAGTGGCTTACATTAATTCCTTTTTATTTCTACACAACACACTGTAAAAAATTAACAATTTGTTAGCATTCACAATGCTGACAAAGTAAAATGCCTAAGTAATCTTAACCTCTGACTTCAGAAACATTGCCAATTTAACACAGTAAAGTTGCTTTGGATTTTTTATATTTTGGCCAAATCCAATGTTTCACAGATTATTTCCCCCCCCCCCCGCCTTCTTTATTTGCAACATTTTAAAATCATATCTGGTGCTTGGGATATCCAGCCCCCTTTCCCCCATCCTAATACAGCAGAAGAGACATATAAACATGCCATTTAAATTAAAGAAAGAAAAATGGAATAAGTGGAATCCCGGACTGCAAAAATATATACAAGCATTTACCTTTTTCCTGAACTAAACATTTCAACCATAAAAATATTAAACAGCCATACCCTATAGAACTAGGGCTAAGGCTATTTCAATTATAACTATTCTTTATTTTAAAAATATAGGGCTGAAAGCCTTTTGGGTGATATTTATACATTAACAATAGTTCTACGTTCCCTACATGAATCATAAAGCATTATGCAGAACACAGACTATTTTTCATAGCTTAATCTTGCATTATCTTGCTTAATTTAATCTCTCTTGTAAATATGTTAGATAACTACATTTCATTGTAAGAATTAATATAAACAGAAAATATTTATAAGGCTTTTTTCTCCTCATGAGCTGTATGCTGTAATATATCCATCAAATGCTTTGAAGTTGGCAGATTTTCCTCCTAGTAAAACCATGAAGTCAGGTTAGTTCTCACCATCAATGAAACTGTAAAAGAGGGTCATTTCTGCATCATCAGAAACTTTTCCTTGCCTTTCTTAGAATATGCATGACAAAAGAGCTATTCACTCTAAAGTCTAACCATTCTGCCTTCCAATAAGCATTTATCACTTTGTATGACCCCAAAAAACTCTTGAAGTCAGTTAAAAACTGTAGTGTCTTGGTTCTTCTTAGGCCTGAATCAGTTTTTCCCTCTTATAGTTTAGACAGAAGGGACAGCAGGAAACAAATATTCTTTTCAAGACTGGAAGTTCAGTTCTACAGTTTCCCACTGTCCTGTTTCAGCTCCAGTATCTAGAAGCCTCTTAAAAACAGCTCCTGTCCCAATGCTTTGAGCTGCAGTTATGCTTTACTATGTGCTACACGCTATTTCAAGTGTCACGTCTCTTACTATGGCTAACAGCTCATCTCATTGAAGTTTGCTTTGCTCCCTTCAGATAGGGCAAGAGCTGACCATACCCAAAAAGTGCATTCAGTCTAAAGGAGCAGTAAAATGCAAAATGTTATTGTAAACCAGAAGAGAATTGAATATGAACAGATTCTAAAAGGAAGTAAAAGATCTTATTAATACAATAGGAACTCACTACAAAAGTTACTAGCTCTAAGCAGCTTAGGGTGAATTAGCTTAGAAACCTCCCCAAAAAACTTTAGTTTCAGTCTTTATAGAACTATTTACTGATGCTCCAGCTTTTACAAAATCTGTAATCCATGTCTGAACTTTCTAATCCTCTTAGCCTTAGCCAGTATCACATATCAGTTCATCAGCAAAAATAAGTATTATCATTTTCTGAATCCAGTTGTTTTGTACCTCTTCCTGAGAGCCCAATATTGTCTTCAGAGCAAACTGGCTGCAACATTGAAGAATAACACTGAGAATAATGTCTGTTAACACTTTTGACAAGAAACATCAGTCTGCAAACGGGAATCTAAATGGAATCAGTGCAATCCCAGGTGGTCTTGTCTTTTGCAAAACTAGTGAAGTACCACA